TAATGACACAAATCAATGGACAGTCAGTGCATACCTTTCCAATGTTGGTGTTGTCGAGCGCGGCGTCGATCTCGTCCAACACGAAGAACGGCGCCGGTTTGTACGAGTGTATGGCGAACAGCAGCGCCAGTGCGGCCACCGTTTTCTCACCACCGCTAAGATTGCTCATCGGTTGAAAGCGTTTGCCCGGAGCCACGCAATTGTAGTTAATGCCCTCGAGATACGGCTCTTCCGGGTTCTCCGGCACGAGGAATGCCTGAGCGCTGGCGTTATTGGTCAGCGACTTATAGATGGAATCGACGCGTTGGGCCACCGCTTCGAAACACACCGTGAATTCGCGCAATCGATTCCGTTTAATCTCTTCGAACGCCATTTTGGCTTTCTTTGAGTCGAGCCTTAAATTATTCACTTCAGAGTCCGTTCCCTTCAGTCTCTCCTTTACGTCTTCGAGTCTATCATTGAATACGTGAAAAAAACATTGGAAATCAAAGCAATCCTATGATTATCGCTCACAACGACAACAATTACTACTTACTTGTCAATAGCTCTCATGTTTGGCGCTTGTATTTTACGCAACACTTCCCGTTTGCTATTAATCTCTGTCTGCATTTCGCTCTCTTTCTTTTTGATGGCATCCGAATCGTTCATCTGTTAAATACAATTCAAACCATTAATAAAAACACAATTAATACGAGAAATAAGAAAAAAAGAAACAAACATTTTTGAGACTATTCTTCAGTATAGAAAAGTCTGGTTTGAGATTAGAATCGCTTTCATATGAGCGCTGAGTGGAGGGTCCGTCGTCGTCGTCTTCGTCGGCGTTCCCATTGGTCTCGCCGTCGTTATTGTTGGCGCCGCCGGCGGCGATGTCGTTGAGGTCACCGGAAACGAGTGGCAATTCAATGCACTCCATCTTACAGTGCAAAAGGATCGCATGTCTGTCCGCTTTCTTCGACTCGAGTCGGCACTCGATCTGCATTAGAGACTTCTGCGCGGCCGACAGCTCCTTCTGAATGCTGGAGAGGCCTCTCTTCACTTCCGTGATCTCGTCCTCCACTGAATCGCATTCAGTCTTTTTGGAGATCTTGTCGTTCTTGAGTTCCTCCACTT